CTTCAGCCACATGCATTAATAGTACCAATTGCATGCATCACAATGAGAAAATTCAATCCGCACCATTTCTATCGTTTAATTTACTATGAAAACAATAGGGTTCTTTGGCTTGAAATTAGTAAGTGATATTCTATGAAAATCTGTGGCTGAAACATGTGGCTCCACGTATGTGTTTTTGTTCGTACAATCTTCATGGAACACCACTTGACAAAAGCTGCATATCAATTAATTAAAGAAGAGTATGTTTTTCAAATTATATGTATGTGTATATATATATATATATATATATATATATACATGAATCAAGAGGAGATTGAAGTTTAGACTTTATATATGTAGAGATTCTGCAGCTTAATTTATTATGTCCCTGCAGTGGTGCATTAATTTCAAGTCTCTCTCTGTCTCTCTCATTTTGTTTTTAAAGTACTTTGTTGAGGAAGTTGATCCATATTCCACCATTGCTCTGAAAAGAGTTGCCTTTATTAAGTCCTTCACCAGCATCCTCTTCAATGGTGTCTCTCTCTCTCTCTCTCTCTCTCTCTCTCTCTCGCAAGTTAATGTAGGAAAAGATCGATGTGTCATCAAGACTTGATCGAGAGATGGTCGACACTGACTCCACTTCCCCATTTTCCCCAACTCATCCTCTAAATTTGGCCAAATTTGAATTCCAAGAAAGCTTCTTGTCTCATGTTTTTATGAGATTCACTGAGGTGTTAATGTGTTTTCAGTTTTCACCTCCAAAGGAAAACATGTTTACTACATTTAGATTTTAAGTCAGAGAGACAGATGGGAAGAGAGAGAAAGAGATCAGAGAGAGCATCATCATTATACATACAAAACAGTACTATGTATAATGATTTTTCAATAATAATAAGAACGATAAGATCGGTGGAAGTACTTATTTGTTTTACATGGGTGAAAGTGAAAGTTGACGAGTTTGAAGGGAAATTGTGAGAAAACGCCAAAAATCCCACTAAAAACCATGCATGCAAGTATCTAGCATCTCAACCATATCCAAGTGAGCAACAAGTATTCTAGATTTTTGGTAGAGAATGGTGCATCATGCATGAGCTATATATGATAAAACCCTAGCTATATAGGTCAAAAGAACTCTATAATATATCATTGCTTTTTTTCTTATAAGTGATCGAACACAGGATTTTGAGTGCAGATACGTCTTTTTTTAAACTTTATTTATAGTGTTTACTGTTGCTACTTTAAAAATCAAACATGGTCCCCTAGCTAGTGTCTCATCCTTTTAAATTGGGTCAAAAAAATTATAAAACTTTGTCACGTTAGAATAGAAAGATATATGTGTGTATTGTTGATCTCTTCGGAGATCGATGTAATAATTACATATTAGTATTGTAAGCCAAAAAGGGCTGGTCATCTTATGAAAAAGAGAAGGAATCAAGGATTTGCTTTTGCAAGAACCAAGGCTGCCAAGCAATGGACGAATAAAGCAATCAAACCAGAATGCCAGAAGCAAAAAATTAAAGCAGACACACACACACACACACTCTCTCTCTCTCTCTCTCTCGATATTTGATATTTGATGAGTTTGGTCATGGGACGTGGACAGTGAAAAACAGTTATTGTGAGTCGAAAATGTGCATGCATTCTGCATATGGGCGTCAAAGAAGGCAAAAGGGAAAGCAAAGAAATAAAAGAGGAATGGTTGCTGTTGTTGGTGATGAGCCTGAGAGACTGAGAGGTACGACAACCGCTGGAAGAGCAATCAAAGGCTTCAAAGCCTTATTCAAAAGCAAAGCATATGGCTCGGAAATCCAAGACCCTCTATGTTATGGATGTTCATTTTGTTGACCCACACTTTGATAAACGTGAAATATATGCTCTCTCTCTCTCTCTCTCTCTCTCTCTCTCTCTCTGATTGTTAGTTTTTTCTATTCGCTGCTTTTTGCTCTCTCTTTCTCTGTCTTCAGTGTTAAGTGTTTATGTTTGTTGAAGCAGAGATGGGCCTGCGTTTTATTTTTTTCTTTTTCACTTTATTCCTCTTTATCACCTTCTGATCTTCTTCTTCTTCCAAATGGGTCCGTGTTTAATTTTGCATTTCTTTTTACATTTTTGCTTCTTCACCTTCTTTTTGAGCGTTTTGTGCAGTATCACTGATACACGTTCTGGAATATGGGCCATTAACCTTATAGCTTTTTCAGTAGATTTTTAGTTAATAATTACTTGCAACCTGCATATTCAGTTTGAGTCTTACTTGTGCAGCTACGTCCCATTAGTTGGGATTGCTATAATATATACTCTCTTATGGTTGATAATATTTACTCGCAACCTTATAGCTTTCTGAAATTTAGGGTTAAATGTTTGAGATTTGTATAGAGAGTTTGTATTGAAAAGTGTTAGCCAGCCAAGTAGTGAGGAGTTGGACAATTGATCAAGGATTTGAGCACTTCTTCTTCTTCTTCTTTGTTTTTTTTTTAGTACAAGCGATAGTATAAACTACAAAGAATGAAGTTTCTCACACACACACACAACTAATGCCATGGGGATTCGAACCTCTAAGACCTCTGGTATGCAAGTTTAGCACTTCTAATATAATGTAACTTGAAAGAAAATGATGGAAGCCTAAACATCAAGACATTATATGCACAAGAACACTCGTACTCTCGTCTATTTTGGAAAAATACAAGTAACACTTACGATATTAATGTCAAACTCGTAAACACAAGAACTAAAATTGTCATCATCTTTCTAAAACTAAGAGTCATGATATACGTGATTTGATGTCTCATCAAAATAATTTACTAGCATGATCTCTTGATCTCATTCTTTTCTCCGATTGATTATACAATCTAGCTAAGAGATGCATATTTGCATCTGAACTTAAATTTTTAACTCGGGTCTTTATAAATTTAAGATTAGCTTCCATGCATTCAATCTGAAAAAGTAAATTCAGTGGTCCCATATTTTCTTAACGGACCATAATATCATATGCATCATATTAAGTTACTTTTGAGATACACATGTTATGATACAACCCATTATATATGTGTAGGTATACTATATGTATACAAAACATGTGGCAAGTTAGCATAGATGTTGCATTACTTTTGTCACAAATCATTTGGGTTTTTGCATATTTAGTTTTCACTTTATTGAAACCACTCAGCTGAATTTCAATTGGTACAAGTGACATGTTAGTATCATGTCACATCATCGCCCCCTGTGATTCAGCATGGTTTTCTGTGATGGAGCTACTTCATCCATCATCTTGTATTATCTTGTAAAGATCCTTTGTTAGATGTTGATCAAAATGGTAGTTAGTTTGGTCTTCGAATTTCTCTTTTTCGTCCAAGTTGGAATTCAAAGAATTTGTGCATGATGGAGTGCTTACTTTATAAACTCAGCGATCTCAATCCCAGTGAGATGATTCTTTAGAATTACAAATCTTGTTAGATTATGTCACTGACAATTACTTTCTCACATCTTCATCATGTGTTTAAGTTCTCTTATATCTCACGGTCATTATCGCTACTTTAATTATTGTTGAATGAGTGTGTTTTTAATTTACCTGCCACATGAATTTCAAAAATTATACATATTCAACAAATCTCACAATCATTATTATTACGTTAATTATTATTAAATGAGTGTAATTTAATCTACCTGTCACACACGAATCTTAAAAATTAAACACATTCAACAACAATTAACATTATGATAATACTCATCGCCAATTAAGAGTAGTGGGCAAAAATATTTTGCTAACAAGTAGTATGTCAGAAAGGCAACTTTTTTGATAATCCCAATCTTCTTTAGGGTAAAAAATAAAAATAAAAAAACCAAGCAATGTTCAATCAAATGTTTGTCAAGCATATGCCATGTGACATGACAGATGCCAAATCGCCCAAACAATGGCAGTTCCTACCTTAATTAGGGCATGTTGTGGAAAGTATATTTCATTTGAAACAATGGATATTAATGCTGCTTCCATTTTTATTTTATTTTTAAAGTGAAAATGAAAATGAAAAGATTAGGCTATACATCCACAGACTTTCATACTTGGTGAATAAGATAAGTTGGATTCTAATATCACATATTGAAAAAAATATAAATATCTTGAGATGGCAAACCCTTATGGGTTGTATTCGAAGACATGGAAAGAAATGTTTTTATGTCAGCAACAGAAGCCCAAGCTCATGGAATTGTTGATTTTGTAGCAACTGAATAAAAAAGAAAAAATACCAAGGATTTCACACGAATTCGTTATTTGAGATTTTATTGTATATGAGTTTTTTTGAGATTTTATTGTATATGAGTTTTTGAGACACCCTTCACTTCCGAGCTGTTTTTGTGCAAATTATACACATGCTGCTGGCTCCTATCATAGCCTGATTTCACATACCCCTTGAAGAAAGAGTGGCAAAAGGCTTTCCAATCAAAATCCAAAAGCTACAACTTTTTAAGCAAAATCAGTCCAGATCACTATGAGAACTGTTATTAGCTTTATTAGCCCTATCAGACGCAACATTTTGCGTGAGCCAGATAAAGCTCTCAGACTAGACAACACCATTCAGATTTCAGAACCACCAAAATATTAGTTCCGGATTGAAATTTGCTAAATGAGTCTGATTAGGACAGAATCAGTCCATTTCTTTTGTGGCTCGGATTAGGAACTCTCATCCTTAAGTGTATTAGCAGGAACAACTAGGTGACAAAATCTAAGTAAAATCCCCAACCGTCCTAGGTTAAGCCACGGCACTGACAAAGTTTTCGGTTTCATTGTAACACGGTCACATAGTATTACCCTAAAGTATAAAAATGTTTTCCATATTCTGTCATATCGCATGGATTAGTAACATTGAGTGACAATGAAACCATAAAATTTCCTCATGGCACTGCCCTTCAAGTTACCTAATACAGAAAGAAAAGGGGGGAATGAATCAACATATCTGCAGCAGAAACAAAAGAACAAAAAACAAAACAAAAAGAGTCCCTCATTGAATGTGAAAATTGTACATATCTGTGGATGTTTGAAGCTTTGAATTTCAATATATGTAACTTTGATCTCTCAGACCAAAATGTTTTGGATTCAATACAGGCAACATCTCTTCACTAAAAACTGAGGATGATTACAGTCGTAAATGTTACAATGGTACAATTTTCACATAAATGTCAGATATATATCTCAGCCCTTCTTTCCTTTTGTTTTTTCTTTTTAACCCCCCTACCCATTGATGCTCTTTATAAAGAACCCCTGAAAGTATAGTCTCATCCCACACAAATAAAATGAATAACTTACAGACTTGAAAGGTGATCTTCCACCTCCCCCTGCCAAAGCAAAGCCGCTTCTTTTGACTTGAAAAGAACAAAAGAGACCAAGCAAATAAAAAGAGAATAAATAAAAATAAAAATAAACTATCAGCTGTCAACAGCATTTGTTGTGGAGGGTGGCTGTGACTGCTGGGTCTCGGTCTCAGATTGAGCCTCGGCTTGTGCCTGAGCCTGCTGTGTCTGCTGCTCAACAAACCGATTTATTCGCTCAAGCAACTGGGCAGCCTTTCTCTTGCCTCTATCTGTGCCATTTTGTGCCAACTCCATTAATGAACCCATCACCCCAAGTTCCTGAGCCTCTACTATATGTTGTTGGTCTCCGGAACAAAGATGCACCAAAACTGCAGCTGCATTTTCTCTGTTTCGGGGAGATCCAGTACCAATAACTTCAACCAAAACTGGCACTGCCTCGGCAGCTCCAATGGCTGATTTCCCTTCAGGATGACTGGCCAGTATTGCTAGAATGGCTAGTGCCTCATCCACCATTCCACCTCCAGGCTCTGTCAGTAGCTGCATTAGTGTCGAAACAACACCAGCCCTTACCGCCTTCCCCTTGTTCCCTTGATAAATGCACAAGTTAAAAAGTGCTGTAGCGGCATCTTTCTTCCCTCTTTGAGTACCTTCACTTAGCAATGTTACAAGTGGTGGAATGGCTCCCGAAGCACCAATTCTAACTTTATTTTCATCAACAACAGAAAGGCTGAAAAGTGTAGCAGCCGCATTTTCCCGAGCTTCCATGCCTCCATTCTTGAGAACATGAACAATACCAGGAACTGCTCCACAGGATATGATGCTTCCTTTGTTATCCTCGCATATGGAAAGGTTGAGAAGTGCTGTCACAGCATGCTCCTGGGTGCGGGAGTCGGGGGTTGAAAGAAGGCCAACAAGCAGGGGGATTGCACCAGCTTCCGCAATAGCCACACGATTATCAGCATTACGCTTGGCAAGAAGCCGGATTTCACCCGCAGCAGACCTTTGGTCTTCGGGGTTTGCTGACATCAGCTTGCGGAGGAGAATTTCGATCTTCGTACGTTCTGCAGGCGAGCAGGCAGATGCAGTTTTATTAAGTCGAGCATTGGGTCTTTTTGGTGGTTCAATGCCATTTGCCTCACACCACTGGGCTATGAGGCTACGTAAAGCATAGTTCGGTGTGAGGGTGGTATTAGAGAGGTTCTGTTGCGTTTTCGGACATGTCCCATGCCCTGCTTCAAGCCACTTTTCAATACAGGAACGTTCATAGGTCTGCAGCAGTGGAAACAAGATCTTTTAAATTGGATTGTGTCCCAGGGCATGGACTTCAAATGTATTCATAAAAAATTAACCCCATATATAGGAATACAAGTACCAGTCTTTGTGACATCTTTTCAAGCTCGTAATAAAAAAAGGTTTTGGTTTTGTTCCAACAAACCATATGAAGGAACTAACAGAAGACAACCAGGCTGATCTCAAATAGGGGAATCATTGACCCAACAGCAGGATACAATGTAGCAAACAAATTTCAATATAACAATTTTCTACAAGAACGTGGAAACATGTTATTGACATCGGATAGCCATACGACAGAAAATGGAACGAAGAAAAACATCTAATAACAACCAATGAAACATGAAGGAATAAGGAAAAAGGAACATGGATAATTATGGTGCAATTGAGTTGTGGGTATCAAAGAGCAAGCATATACCTGCCCGGTTGAAACAATGACGGGGTCCTTCATTAACTCCAATGATATTGGACAGCGAAAATCATCTGGAATAACTGGGGGAACCTTGTGATTTTTGTCAGTAGATGCTTGTCCACTGCAACTTGCTAATATATTCTTTTCTGTTGCAGGAGGAGCTTCCAAGTTGGGGTTTTCTGTTTGTACAAAATCCTTAATTTTTTTCAGTAGCATTGACATCTTCTCGATGCTCTCTCCAGGATCCCCACCACTGGAAGTAACCATCTCATGCAAGGCTAGTGACTCTTGTGTAAGTTCAGCTATCCCTGTCAATTCTAACTTTTCAACCAATCTTTTTAGGACAGCTGGATCTGTTGTTGCATCATTTCTACTGTAAAGGGATAAGAGATCCTCATAGAGCTCAACATCTGGTGAATCAAACCTTCCATTTGCTCTTCTGAACTGAGCAAGAACTAGTTCAACCTGGATGAATGATACAGTTAAAGAATATATTTAAAACTGAAAAATCTCAAATATAATATAACGAATAAATTTAGGAGCTCTGAATCGGGACCTACTCAAATTCTTGTTGTACCACATAGATATAAGTTTTGCAAGTCATAGTATGGTTAAATGTCTCCGTGTGTGTCTGTGCACATGCAATCTAAATATGTTTAAATATACTTTAAAGAAAATACTTCAAGAATTCTGAAAGGAAGAATCTGGCATCTCATTATAATGTCAGCTTATACAGGACAAGGATTCCAAAGTAAACATATGAAGCTATATCCAGAAAAAGAAAACAAAAAAACAACTATTACATTGCGATCCCTGGTTATCACATCCCAAAACAATTACAGGATTGTTCAATGATGAATATATACCTGTTCCTTAACTTCATCTGATATGTCAAGATTTTCATAGGCAATTCCACTTAAAGCTTGTTCCAACTGAGATGTCACCTCATGGAACTTCTTCATAATTTGCTCCCTTTCCAGGACCTGCAAGTAGGGTGAAAAGGTTCATGAGAGAGAGACAGAGACAGAGACAGAAACAGAGAGAGAATCAAGGTATCGTATGACTAGAAGTTTGAACTTTAAAGCAATCTGGGTAGTTTATTTAAAATCTAAGGCTGAGTTAATTATAAAAAACCTTTAACAATGAAAAACAGGGAACATTCAACAGACCCCACCCATGCAAAGTACGGAAAACAAAAGAACATTGACAAATAGACCATATGACACAAAACACCTCAGAGTTTATAATATGAAATAGTCTATTCACACAGGCATGTTTCACACCAATCTGCACTGTAATTCAGTATTCCTATCAAAATTATACAATGTGGTCACATTATTAACTAAGACAAGGTTAACAAATTTTTTTATGAACTTAAAGTTCAAATCTCAACCACTTATACTGAGAGTCTGGGAACACTCTCAGTTTGTTTTAGCCAATTTATGTAAATTGTGTTTCAAAACATGATATTTTTAGCCATCTTATTCCCTTCCCATCTGAATCTATAAAATAATATCAATCCTCGAACCCATATTCACTATATTTCAGCCATGGCTAGGAAATCTTAGGATCACGATGTGTATCACTTTGCTTCTTTATTTTTTAGTAACAGGGAGAATAAGAATGACCAAAAAACAAGATAGGGAGCAAGAGAGATATTGAGACAAGACATTCAGAAACATAAAAGGAGAGATGGTAACTCCAATTTATCATAAACCATGTCTAGATATTTATCCCCTGTAGCATGCGGTACTATTCCTGACAATAAATCATATTCACTCTCAAAGCTCCACAAATAGCCCTTTTCAACAGTGGGCATTTTATACTATGGTACTAAGTTCCTCGAAGCACACGAAGAAACCATCAAAACACTGTTCGGTCTTGTTTTTATGCAGCCTTTTTCAAGCCGGAAGATAGCTCATTACACAGCTGAGGGAAGCTGCATGATTTTCTCTTTTCTTCCCAAAATCACGTAGTAACTCTTCTGTGAAACTGTGGTAGAATCATCATTCATACAGAAACCTTAACACCGCAGGAAATTAACAGCTAGAACACGCTAAAGAAATCAAAATTTTGGTGTACGTATAATCAGAAAATTCTAGCAAGCCCCAGAAGATAATGCCCATAAGTGGTGGTTTTCGAGAACTGCTAAATTCAATATGTTCATCTCTCACCCACAAACTACTTTGAATATCTTTCCCAAAAGTGGTGTAACATCAACTACCAAAGTTCCTCCACAAATAAAAGCAAGACCAAGAACAACCAAAATCTTGTTGACTTAGTTATAGTACCACCACTCTCAGAAATGCAAGAAGGAACCTTCTACCAAGTACATGATAACAAACAACCAAGGATATTCCACACAGAAATATGGATTCCCACTTCTGACAACCAACCAGTGATATTCCATTCTGACCTGACAATTCCATTCATAACAAGAGACACAACAATGCTCAAGTACTATATCTTGATACAGTTAATAAAACTGATGGAGACAAAAAGGACCGAACAGTAAGGACCCGTGAAAGAATAATACGAACATCACAAACCCCAGACATGAAAGGGGACACCCTAAAAACCAATGCAAATACATTCTATTCATACAAACAGAAACTTTTCATCGAGATTTTTAAGCATGACATTCTACTTTGGCTTGCTGCTAATCAGAGATATGAAAAATCCCCAAAATCAAACAAAACTTTAGCCAAAACAAAGATATAACTGCACCCAAATAAAAGACTAGGAATTTTTTGTTAAGGAATCTGTCTGGGAACTTTCTGCTGAGTCTCAAAAAGGTGAACATATATAAAATTATTTCGCTACTTTAATTATCCAACAACTTCACTCAAGTCTTCCTCGTCTAAATATTAAAGAAGCCACAATTCAATTCAGTGCGAAAATTTCCAAACAAACGAATTAAACTTAACTAGTATCACTTAATTTGAGGAAAAACTAAGCACTGGAAAGCAGCAATGAACTTCAATTATTAGAACCATTTGGTTTTTTTTTTTTTTTTTAAAATTTTTTTTTAACATTTGATTGCTGAGAATGTAGCAATTGATAACAAATTAGAACTATAAATCTCAATTATAGCAAAAATTTGGAACCCTTGAAAATTTTAACTAAAACTAAAATTCCAATTTAGCAAAGCCTAACACAACTGTTTTGTTAATCTGAAGTTAGTATGCTATTACTTTGATTGCTTCCACAGCAGTCAATAGCGAGTAACAAACAATTTACTCAATAATCCAGTAGAAGCAACAAATAGAGCAGTATCAAATTCAATAAAAAAAAAAAAATATTTTCCTTCACCTTCCCGCATTTTCTCAGTAACCAAACAGAAAAAAAAACAAAACAAAACAAAACAACAAAATCATCGAGGCCAAGAATCAAACGCACACAAACAAAAAATGCAAGGACGACTGAAAAAGAGAATCGAATGATACGCACACACCAGGTAAATCTTGCTGCTTTCGCTTCCGATTCTGAGCAAGTCCTTAGCCGATTCCAGAGCCTCCATGAAGGAAAGCAAGGCCTTCACAGTCTCCCCAGGAACCGCCTCCTTGCTATCCCTAATCTCCTCGAACATTGGCGTCAGCAGCTTCAACCTCCTCGCCAAATTACAGTACTGCTTCTTGACCGTGCACCTGTAGTCGGAGATCGAAGCTATTTCGTTGACTAGGTCGATCAGGCTCTGCACCAGAGCGACTTTGTCTTTCTCCATAGCTCGTCTTCGCCGATCTCAGCTGAAACGCGGCGTTTCGGAAGGTTTTTGGTTCTGCAAAGTCTGGGCTTAAGGCAGAGCGAGGGGACTGCAAAATGAGAGCAGGGTCTTGGGTCGTCTCTCGTAGTGAGAGAGAGAGCTTTAGAGAGAGAGAGAGAGAGAGAGAGATAGAGCGAGCAGAAGGGAAGCGGGGAGAGAGAGTTTTTTAATGTGGCGCGGCTACGAGTCAATCTGAGTCGCTGAGTCGGCTCTTAACCAGGGTTGAGTTGTTGTTGGGTTGGGAATTAAACTTTAGCTGCGCTGTGCTCCGTGGAGTTGGTCGACTCGGCTGGAGGTTGGTTGGTTGGTTGGTGTTACGGTAGGCGGATGGTTTATTTGGCTTAGGTTTAGCTACCGCCGGTTAAAAAAAAAAAAACAAAGTGGTGATATACCGCCGTTAAATTTCTCTAACTCAACTAGGAATGTAAAATATAAAATTCACAATAGAAAAAAGTTATAGAGATTTTCTATTTAAACCCCGCACTTCTGTTTGTTCACCCCAATACTTAAATCATTAAGCTGTAAGTTTTATTATTGTATAAAAAGACAAAAAAGGTCATCCAACTTAATAATTAACCCTAGTACATTTATATACACATCCCCACACACCCCACCACTCTTTATATTAAGTTTTAAAAACCTCCTTCCAACTTTCTGTTTACAAACTCTCTCTCTCTCTCTCTCTCTCTCTCAACTCAACAATACCCCAGTGTTAGAATTCCAGTTACAATTCTTGGAGAAAGGTAAAGTTGTTTTCTTTCTCTATGAAATATTAAATTTCAGATTTAGGTTTTCATTTGTTTGTGTTTTTTTTTTGTTGAGAACAAAGAAAATTGTGGGATTTAAATAGAAAATCTCTTTTAGTTTTTATTTTTTTAGTTTTGGGTGTATTTAAGGGTAGTTTGGGAAGATAGTGGGGTTTTCTTAGAAATTGTAAAAATTTAAATTAAAAGTTGGGGTGAACTTAGAACATGGGGTGAACTAAGAGAAGTGTGAGGTTTAAATAGAAAATCTCAAGTTATATAAGGTATTAAATTTAATACAAATTTATAAATAAACTCAATTCTAGACATTTATTTATAAAAAAACCCAAACATTATTTAAACATAGAAACACACCCAAAATCAACAATGGTATATTTTTGGGAGTTTCACTAAAACACCCAAAATGGAGGTTGAAATTATAAAAAAACCCAACACCCAAAACACTTTATAAACACACCCAAAACCCATCATTACACACACTCAAAACCCATTTATAAACACACCCAAAAAGTTGACTTTGGGGTTGATTTTGGGTGTGTTTCTATGTTTAAATAGTGCTTGGGTTTTTTTATAAATACATGTCTAGGATTGGGTTTATTTATAAATTTGTATATATTTTTTGGGTGTGTTTATAAATGGGTTTTGAGTGTGTGTAATGATGGGTTTTTGGTGTGTTTATAAAGTGTTTTTAGTGTTGAGTTTTTTTATAATTTCATCCCCCATTTTGGGTGTTTTAGTAAAACCCCATAAATTTAAACAAAAAAAAATTTTATATACAGAATTAATTTAATATTGGAAAAAATTATTAACCCAAATAGTGTTACATGTCAAAGTGCTTCTTGTTTGGTACACCTATTTGCAACTACTATCGTATTGTATTAGGATTCTTTGACACAAATCCTATATTTAGATTTCTGCCTTCTCGTAGTATAATACAGTTCAGTCTAATCCAATATAGTTTGATTTTGGTTTTAGGAATATATTTTTTTTTCCATGTTTAACAATAGCGAAGATCGAAAATTTTAAATTGTGAATATATAGAGTATATATTTAAGTAAAAATCATCTTGATTAATGATTTTCTTTTATATGAGCGTAGAGAAATTCAAACTTGAAATACGTATCGTTAGACTAAAAACTAGTAGAGTCTTTAAGAAATATGCCCAAAAGTCTAGTCAAAGAAGAAGAGAGACTAGACCAAGCCAACGTTAATTTCATCTTCTAGGAAGCATGCACCAATTAGGCAACACCATGTCGGCCAGTCAAGCCAGAGACGCAACAAATTTCTTGCACACACGCTACAAAAAAGAAGAAAATTAAAATGCTAGCCATGCATATAATGCATGGTTGGAAACATTCCAATTATGGCATGTAAAAAAGTGCTCCTCCGATGTGGGACACACACCAAATACCCAACAAGTCCTTAATACTTTACTTTTTCATATTTATATTTGGATCATGCCTCAAACCATACGCGTAAACAATCCCACTTTCCAAATTACAATTATTCCAGGACAATCTTAGCTGTACAATGCAATACAATATTCGGATTGTGACAGATACACTTTCTATTCAAATTTCACTTTCTTCACATTTGGTTAATTAAGACTTGTAATTTGGTTCAAACTTGTTGAAGAAATAATAAAAATACAATAAAAGAGGTTCTGTCGTGTTTGATACATTGCGTCGAGCACTAACATAAAGCGTGCTACAATACTGATGTATTATAAGTATCTGATGCAATGTGCCAAGCACATGAAATAGTTTCATGTAACGACACGACACAATTAACTAAAGCATTAACAAAGAGTTAATTATGCTTAAAGATAAAATAAAGCCAACTTGCATTAAATTATAAGTACTGCAACATCGTTTTGTAGTGGCAATCAAAAACAATGGCAACTAGTATGAGGCTTTGATTGAGATTGTGGGGAATATCAATTAAATATAATGTTAAAGTAGTAATTCTTTGTCGCTGTTTAATTCAAAAGGAAGCTCGGTCTAAAATAAGATATTTTGAGATGTGGTTTTAGTGCAAGAACTGCAAAGGACTGACATGCTTTTAGGACAACATGTGTTATCTATACAAATTAGCAAATCATAAACAACTCCTGGGACAGTTGGTAAAGCCCTCTGTTTCTTTTTCTTTTTTCTTGGGTCCTTATTAGTCTTCCATTGATGACCTTCCTAGAAGTCATTCCCTTTCGTTGTGTCGGGTGCAAAGTGCAGCAAAATTATGGCATTTTCTCTAAGAAGTTGAATTGTGATGAAAAATAAGCGGACCGTTGGACCCTCCCAATTACATAGATTCATTCAACCTTAATCAAGGGAAGCGTTATTCATACTCAAGAAAAAGTTTTAATGCAAGTCCCTTATACAATTTGAGGTAAACTATATTTTTAAAAAAAGGTTATCGAATTATGAGGCATGCATGACATATAACTTATATATATTTATATTAAGATTGAATCGAACACAAGCTTCTCGCAACATGATATATACCTCTTTTAAAAGAACTTGTATGGCATGGGTATAGCACTAATTTGCTATCCCCAACCAATTACATTCCACTATATACAAAATTTATCAGCGTGACGAAAACGTGATTAGTTAAGTAATAGCAACCTGTGATATACAAATTTTTCTCCCATTTTAGGATGTGTATAACAGTTCTCATAATAAAACCTTGTTATTTTATGTGACAAATGTGAGAATGATAGAATTCCAGAAATGTAAAAGCAAATGCGAGACTGTTTATGGAGACAAGGCATTTTGTTTTGTAGCGTTTGTATGGTTTCATTCAAGTCAAAATAAATAATTGGGTACACATAGAACCAAATATCAATAATTAACTCCACACCACTTGTATTTAAAGTATGATATTTGAAACTATATAATTTACTGTTTACCACACAAATGTTGATTGATGAAAGGAAAAATAACAATTCTGTCAAATCAATAAATTGACTTGACGACATCCTAACTTTTTTTTTTTAATGTCACGTTCAAAAGTTAGGAATATTAAATAATATTAACATATATTCGGATACAAAAGGGGCACATAAAAAAATCACATACTGACCAAAATGATCCATTTGTTGCACTAGGATTGATCACAGACAAAATCCAAATGGACCTCACTGGAAAAACTGGTTTGCTGGGGCTACACCTAGAAGCCTTTGACTATTTTCTCAACATAAATCCCACCCATACACGTAGCAAGCTCACGGGATTTTTGAGACGTCCGATTCCTATCCCAGTGTGTACGCAGCCTGCCATATCAGAATCGCATATACACGTGGGCCACATGAATCGGATGGGTGGTGGGAAAAGCTAGACCGTCGCTTCACTCCACACCACATAGACACGCGGCAGCGCCACAGTGGCTTGCTGGCCCTGTTGCCGTCCGGCTCGGCTCAAGAGCCTCGTAAGCCTGGTTAAAACTGTTCCCAGCCGTCGGATCAAACAACACGAGGGGAGAACAGTAGTGGGGTCCCACGAGGAAGGCGAAAACTGCGGCACATGGTCGACGTGTAGGCAATGATGATCCCTTTGCGCTGTCCGACGTGGCAGGATCGGGTCTCGGAGTTGAGGACGAATCAGAGCCGTCGGTCTGGGATCTCATGATACTCGGTGCATCTCTGAGAAGAAATAATGTAAGGAACTTTTTATTATATGCACCGTCGATGCGCACGTGTGGGGCCCTCGTGTGGGGCACAGGAGACAGTGGCAGGGCGGGGGGGGGGCAGGGGGATGTGACCCGCCGTAAAGGACAGCGCAGATGACTGTAACGAAGCCTGGTGCTTTGCGCAACGGCCTTTCCTTAAACTGTGGGAACTTATTGCGTCACACGTAGTTGAGCTAGGAGCCTTATCTCACCGTGCTTGTTCTGATTGGGCAAAAGAAACGACGCCGTAGAAAATCGGAAAAAAACACACAGACACGCACACGTGAAAACTATTTGATTTTTTCTTGGGGCTTTGCCCCTCTACTTAATATTTTAAAAAAAAACTATTTGATTTCTTTGGAAAAAAAGTGCTCGTCTTTTTTGCTTATTTTCTATAATAAAAAAATAACATTTAAATTAGCCCATGATGATTTCCAGCCCACAGCTCATTTACATGGTGGTCCAGAAATTAATATGGTTTGGCCCATTCTAAATTTTTTTATGTTTTTTTTTTTTTTTTTCTGGCTCTACCTCTGTTTTGATTATTTCAGATATCCAATTCGTTATTTCCATGACAAAAGTATGTTTTCTGGCCCTTACCCAATTCTTCAATAAGGAAATTTATATTTTCATATCATGCAACATATATTTGTATATATTTGCAGAGTATTAAGTTGACATGGTTAATGATGGTTACATTAAAA